ATAAAATATAAAATGTGTGCCTAATTTAAAACTAAATATATGAGAACCAAATTTGAGTCCTTTTGTATTTATTTATTAAGTATTTAGTTATTCTTCTTAATTCTAATTGACTCGCATACGTTAACTTCAATTACTTTGTGTAGCAGTTTATTTGTATAATAGTAATACTGACTTTATTTTGTTCGAAGATGATGAAAACTATTTTATTAAAGAGACAATTTTATAAAAAAAAAAATAAGGGAATTAATATGACAAATGCCTTATTCTGTTGAATATCACGAATAACTGTTTTAAGTTTAATGAATTTACTTTTAAAAATTTGAAGTTAAAATAAATTCTATTTCTTAATCATGTTTCTTGAGTTATGAATTTTTTTTAATGAACATTTTAAGATGTAATAAAGCAAAGAATTATTTTATATTTTATAATCTCTATACAATTCTTAAATAATTTTTTATTTATTTAAATTATTATGCACATCACTTATATTATCAAGCCGCGCATCGCGCGGGTGGTATACTAGTATATATTAAAGCAGAGCAGCTGGAATTTTCCCGCTCAAACCTGCTGCATTAATTACTGTATTAATGGTAAAATAATTTATTTTCACATCATTTGAGATATTGTCTTAACATTTATTGTATTGTAGTTTAATGAACTTTAATCTTTATATATTAATTGCAATCTTAGGAAATTGTGAATACACATTAAAACAATATATGCAAAAAAAGTTTGTTAAAAATAAATGTTTAAATGTCATTCTTAATTATGCATTGGAAAAGTGCACTTCAATTTTCATGGATAAATAATTTGCTTCAACTATATCTATTACTTAACATTTTGTTAACTTCTATAAATTATTTATCATACATACAATAAATGTAATTATTTGTTATAATTAGAGACTTATTTTACAATTAATTACATATTGTGAATTTGCATTTAAATTTTCTATTGGATTCTCTCTCTCTCTCTCTCTCTCTCTCTCTCTCTCTCTCTCTCTCTCT